TAGCAGTTAATTGTCAGGCCTTTTCTGGTGCTGTCGAACTTATTCCTGGGGAAAACTGGGCCTTTTACTGTGACAAAGGCTTAACTTTTAGTTGAGGATGTGCTAAAAACAAACAAACAAACAAACAAACAAAAACAACCAGGAATGGAGAGGATTTAAATACATTCAAGCAAAAACACAGGAGCATGGCTAACCTGTAGTCCTTTTGTTAAAAATAAAATAAAATGAAATAAAATCTGACTTCCCTTACAAGCCTCATTCAGTTCAAAACAAAACCACGCTTCTCTCAGCTTTAACATTGTTTGCTGAACCATTCAGGTGACTTCCAACCAACCACACACCACTGTTCTGAGCTCCAAGCTGATATCTGGGGCTTTCTGGTACCACACATGGGGGATCTTTGTTTGGGTGACATGAAGAGGAGTTTGGACTCCCCCACTAATAGCTAGGAAAAGAGAGATGCAAAAATAAAATCCTCAGAAGTAGAGGTGGGACCGGGTGGGAGGGCATAGTTTGGTTAATTACTTTAGGCAGCCGAGAAATGTGGCTGTTTGCTCAGGACATGGTAATATCAAATAAAGAGACACCAGATCTGGCTAATCTGTCGACCCCTCAGACAAAGTTTATTTGTGGTGACTTTTAAACTCCTGACTTGCCTTCCAATCACCGAGTTTAAAATGAAAAGCTTTAAATAAACACCAGGAATAGAAGATAAATAAACTTTCCCCCCCTTGCAAGTGCCTAGCTCGCTGAGGTCCAGGCTCAAATCCCCAGAGGACAGACTGCTCTCTTTTGTGTTAATGTTTAAAAGATTTTCCAATGCCGGAGTTTATTCCTACTGCAAACATTTCTATTTACAAGGTCAAGTGTATCAGTGCTCGACACAGCTTAAGAGTGTAATTATTTATGTAAGGGCGTTTGAGTGTGCATCAGGAGCTTGGCGGAAGCCCAACCTTCAGCCCACTGTTCAACAGTTCCTCAGGACAATATTACCAGTCCTGGTGATTATTCCCCTCCATGGTGTGTTTACTTTTGCACGCCTCAATGTTTTGTAACAAAATTTTGTATTTTTTTCCACCAAAAGTGTGAAAATGGCTTTGAAGTATTGAATCTTGTAGGCTTCCTAGACCTAATGGTAACAGATGTTATTGGCTTGTTTGATTGAATGAGAAGGCAGAGAGGACACTCCTGGGGGTCAGGAGCAAAAGGGAGGGGGTGCCCAGGGTGGGTCTCCGAGTGAGGAGGAGGTTATCTTCACACAAGAGGCGATATTTTGTGAGTTTTCTACACAGATGCCAACAGCACCAGCAGAGGCCAGTTACAAATTGTTTTAGCTGCCTCATTTACAAACATCTAATTGTTCATCAAATTAGAGGCAGCATTAGCTCACATTCCGTTTGGCACTGCATTTTAATGTCATTTGATGTTTGATGGACTCCTAGTGCCCCCTCCAAACCCCTCCCACCCACCACTGGGTTAACCACAGTCCAACTGTGGAAAGCAACTGCATTGAAGCCACCATTTAAAATCTTTACTGATGTGTGCATTTTTAATAAAACAACCAAAAAATTACACAAAGTCATAGTTATTTAAAACACAGGACTTTAAAAAATGATGTCTATAAAAATACAATGTTTAAGGCAGTTTGGAAATGCATTTATACATTTCTACAATGTCCATAAATTCTCTTGAAAATAAGAACGTTACTTCAAATCTGTAAAATACACTGTACATATTTTTTAGACTGTTCTACACAGGGCACACTTCAAAACAGGCTTTCAGGAGTGGGTTCCTGGTGACCAATGTGTCCTATACATTTCTTGGATGGGGGTGATGCAACATTGGTGCAGATTTAAACCTTTTAATTTCTTTTTAAAAATAAATTATTTCTGACGCATACAATTTATAAAAAATTCTATATACAAAGTACAGCAACTGGTAAGAAACCCCAGTTTTAATACAGTTTATATACGACGTACCAGGGTAGAAGACCCCGATAGGGGCAGAGGCAATATTCAATCTCTGCATATTCAAACTTAGAATTTCTTGGTGTTAAAAAAACCCCAAACAAACAAACAAACAAAAAACCCAAAACCAAACCAAACCAAAACAGAAAAAGGACAACGAAACAAACACCACACAGAAGTTTTCCTAGATGGCAGTACGGAGCTTTAAGATAAAAAGTTGCATTGTTCAACACCATGGTAATAGGCCAGGTTTTTGGACCCTTAATTCTAAGACACGTGGTGCTCAGAGATCAGAATAGTGGCAGCGAAACCGAAGGTGAGGTTAAGGTTATAATGCAGACATGATTCCGGGAACCCAGACAAGGCACTCGCCGGCTACACAATCGGCGCGTTACCGTGTGCTACACCAAAAGTGCAGGAATGAATCGGGAAGGTAACTCTTCCGTTTACTTACGATTGCTGTGTTTCTCAGTGGCCACAAGCAATTAAAGTCGCTACCAGCACTACGTGTCCCCCTCACAGGAAAACTGTTTAAAACCAAAACAAAACGGCCCCTTTGCAAACCTAATTCCCTCAATATCCCCTCCCCCAGTGCCCTGGAGCTGCGAAGACCCCCACCGTTGAGCAGAGTCCAAGCCTCCTTTGCTTTTTTTGCAGGGTGTCTTGAGTTCCAGGGATTCGAGCCAGCCGGTAGGACAGATGGGTTATCTTTGCAGCCTGGAAACCACAGTGGAGGGCCGCGCATGGTGGCTGGGGTATGTGCTGGGCCCTGTCCACCCTGGAAGAGTGTGGGTCAGTGTTCCA